TAACCATATGGGGATCAGCTTGACTCCGGTCGTAATGGGACCGTTGGCGTCGATTTTGCTCCATCACCTTACAGTGGTTTGTGAGATATTGACTCGAGAGCAGCAAATGGGATTCCGGCCTGGTTGAGGTTGTGTTGACCAAATCTTCACATTGCGTCAGGTGCCATAACAACGTCATACGTATAAGCGACCAACAATTCTAGTACTCCTGGATTTCCGAGGCGCATTTGACTCGGTCGATCGGTTTGTTCTTCTTGACACGCTTGCCCGGGAGTTCGTAAACATAATACGTTCTTGGTATCACGTATGAGTGTACGGAGAGCTCTCCATAAGCGTCCGTAAACAAAGTGGTGTCCGTCAGGGATGCCCACTCTCTCCATTCCTTTTTAACTTCGTGAGCGATGAAATAATGGGACGAACGCTGGAGGGTCTCCGAAACCCTAGTGTTCAAATAGCCTGTGAAGAAAACCTTGTTGATCTGGAGTACGCAGACGACATCGTTCTCATCTTCGAAGAGGAGAAGGCGTTTTTGGATGAACTGACCAAAGTCATCCCATCCTTTGGTATGCACTCTGCACCCACGAAGTGTAAAGTCATGCTCGTGGACATGCAGTCACTGAACACGCCACTTGCAATCCACGGAGGTACTGGAAGTTGTGGAGCGTTTTACGTATCTTGGAAGTTGTATTGGTTCTGATTGTAGTGTGACAGATGAGGTGAAAGTACAAATCTGTAGGGCTTGGGTCACGTTTGCTAATTTGAGGCGTCAGAGTGGTTTATCTCTGAATCTCAAGGGACGTGCGTATCAAGCTACAGTACGGGCTGTTTTGTCGCACGGCTGTGAGACTTGACCTATTCGAGCAGCGGAACTGAGACGTCTTCAGGTGTTCGACAATCGTTGTCTCAGAACCATAGCTCATGTGGGTTGATGTCGGCGAATCCGTAACGAGGCAGTTAGAAAGCGCGTTTTCGGTTGTGTAACTGGTACTTCCATTGAGAAATGTGTCCAGCACCAGAAACTGCGTTGGTTGGGACCTGTGTTGCGTACGCCGAACCATCGCTTGCCGAAGAGAGTGCTGCTTTCCATGCTTAATTCAGAGTGGCGTTAGCTGAGAAGTGGCCTACCCTTGACTTGGCAGAGGAGTATGAAGGAGATCACGAAACACTTGGGTGCTGTAGGTGTTCAAGCGTGCCCCCGCGATTTTGTCCTGACGGTTGCAAGCTGTTCGGCGAGTTGGTTCACTTTGTTTTTAGGTCCTTCTTGTTGAATCCTCCCTGTTCTCCTGAGACCAGTGGTGGTGCCTCGGCCTATTCCCGTGCCGGATACACCAAGTGATCCACACTCAACTGGCCGGTTGCACTCGCCAACCGCAACTTGGCATCAAGCATCGGCTGCACTCCTTCGATGAACTGGTGAGGCAGCAACCGGTGGCGCGACACTTCGTCCAGTCCCGGCAAAGCACGAACCAACGACTGCTGAAGGTTGGCGAAGGACACGGTCGGGTCACATCCATGTGCCATCCAGGCCATCTTGAACCGCCTCATGGCCTTCTGGCGTGTCGAACTCCGCCGCAAGGGCTTCCTTCGCGGCGGCCCAGTCCATCTTCCGAGGGCCCTTTCTGGCCGCATCCAGGGTCGCCTTCGCCAGGCCTCTGAGGAAGGTCTCCAGTCCAGCAGCCTCTGCGACCTCCTCCAGGAAAGTGAGGACATCCCCATCCTCAAAGGGTTGTGACCATGGGATCTTCATCCTTATCCTGGTCATGGCATCAAACAAAAGGAAGAAGGCCTTCAATGCGAAGTTCTTTATTGGAAACACATACAAAACAGTCACAGACTAGTGGACAGAGCTGCAAAACTCTCAGTGCACCCTGTCTATAAAAACTGAATATCCGTCTTCTTCTTCTGAACTTTCCTGGACACTCATTGACCATCACGCAAATGTAAACGAACGCTACAGAGCAATTTCATAAATTCCGTAATAAATCTCACTTTTCAATGGACATCCATACACTTCTCCCTGTGCCTTCTGACTTGGCCAGTACCCAGCAGCCAATCAGATCAGATACAAAATCCTGAAGTGAAGAAACGCGTACAACATCCCTTACTCGGCTTGGGCAACTGGATAATATGGATCACTTTTGCAGATTCTCATTCACTGACTTCCACTTTTAAACTCACCCATCTTAGTCAACTAGGCTTCCAGACGCCGTTAGTTAGTTAAATAAACAAAGACTCATTCATTAGATTCTAAGTGTTACTCACGTAGCTTTCAGTCTTTGAACACTGTCGAAATGAGTAACGGAGATCACATGTTAGAATGCTGCTTCCACTTTCTGCCTTGGGAAAAAACCCCACACGACTCCAGATCAGTCGTGCATCTCACTGCTTAGAGTGGGCCCAAATTTTCCACATCCACCTTTCTAACAAATGGTAACCCCGATGCAACGACATGGGATCTATCTATCTGAAAAGAAAGTGGCAACACGAACGCCACTGACAGTGAGCAGCCGCCATGTCTTGCAATGCCTCCCCTCAAGCGCAGGAGAGATCACGGAGACAAAATACCATCATTAAAAGCGCAAAGCCGCAAAAACACAACTCTTCGTGATCCCCTCCAAACCCTTCTGCCAAGCCATACGTTGTCCTGGCGATTTCAGCCATTCTGAACGAGATACGGGGAATAACACTTGCTTCGTTAGACGGTGCTTTGGCATGACTAGCACAGGACTGAGCCACCGCAGTCAACGGTTCTTGATTTGTTCACAGTCATTGAAGTGGCTGCTGCTAGTGATTTCGTTAGGAATTCGTTTACGTCATCCAAAACCAGAAACGCTTCTGAGGCATCGGTGGTCGAAAACCTTAAGACACCGCAAATTACCTATCCACAGAAGCCATAGCTCGCAACCATACAACAATACGGCCCTTACTACAACCTTGTACACACGATCTTTTAGACCCAGTAATATGCCTTTTTGACGCCATAAGTGATGCAAATTAGCCAACGTGATTCTAGCCTTTGATATTCGTCAACTGACGTCATTGGACACACTTCAGTAAGCGCTAATACAACCACCATGGTATGTAAAACTCTCCACAACCTCCAGAGATCCTTTTTGAATTGTAAAGGGTATGTTCAGGGACTGCACGTTATGAAGCACGACTTTGCACCTTCAAGGTGTTAGGCGCACTCCGAAAAATGGTATGGTGGTATCCAACAGAGCTTTCATTCCATCATTATCATCATTAAAGACAGCAACACCAGTGTTGGCACTGATGCTTTACTCCCGAGCTTTCGAAGCTGAAGACGATGTCGGCGTACTACATTTTGGTAATTTTCTCACCATCAGCGGCTTGAACAACGGGATTTTGAAGAACTTCTAGCGTTCGCCTCATTATTTCATCATTGAAGAAGTTGGACAGGAATGGAGAGAGTGGAGATCCCTATCAGATACCAAGCATTTGGGGTTTGCCATTTACTCAAACGAAGTGCGTGAACATCCGGCCCGGATTATGCTCAAACGTCTGGGGCGTACCCTGTTGAGCAGATGTGCTGAATAGCACTGATAAATCGAAAGAATCGAACGCATCCCTGAAGTCAAGGAATAACAGGATTTTGGATCGTCCGTACAGGTGATGTTGCTCTAACACCTGACGGAGTGTAAATATGTGATCGACACAGACTCTATCGGTTGAAATCTCGCGTGATGTTAATAGGTTGAGGATTCCCGTGCCGCCGTGAAGCACCGAAGACGCCAGAGGCCTTGTTAGCACATTCACTGTGAATAACCTTTTTGAAAACGGATACTACTATCGACTCAACCCAGTTAGCTGGAAAGGTCTTTTTCTTCCAGATGGATTCAAATAAGCTAAATAGGCACTGATTGAGGGAATTACCGCCATCCTTGAAGAGAGTGGGTGGGTCGAAAGGACAAGCAGCAAGATGACGCTTGAGTACAAATATACCGCTGTGGTTGAAAACGGCCCCAAATTCACTGAGCACCTTTCTGTCGCAATCCGGCCTTCTAGCTTTGAGTAAGCAGGTGGCCAACTGAGTTCTGTTCAAAGCACTGAGTAGAATGGTCCGGATGTTCTGTCTGCTGGGTATCAGAGAGCTGTTTTTGGTCCTTGATGGTTTCGCAGACAAGAGGTGCCCGAAGACCAATCGGACAAATCAGGTGGAACAACCTGCCGATGTTTCCAGCATTTTTTACATCTTCCAATTCCTCGGCTTTTCGGGCCCAACTAACGAGAACCCTCGGTGGTTCAAGTCCCTTGAGCTTTCTACTTCAACGACTAACTAATCATCGAAGTCACGGACACGTCGACATTAAGTACTATTTATTAACTATCACAAAACCGACAAAAATGCAGTGTTGGTGCAGCATTTTGTATGGAACTTACACTACACTGAACCTGAGAGGAACTTACATGAGGCTATTCCCTAATTCGGCTTCCATAATGCATAAACCAATGAACACGGAAGGTGTCGAAATCAGCATTTACACACTTTCTGTCCCAGCGAATAGGAAAGGGATCCAGCAGATAGAAAATTATTGGGATCAACACTGACATTGTTAATAGCACAAACGCACACAGAACTTCACGTTGTTTCTTCGCTTACAAAATTGCACCCGTGCACTAAATACCTCATTTTCGAACGTTTAGTTATACGTCGTCGCTGTGTGGCATTTTAGGTATCAGTGTCAACAACGCTCGCACTACACATTTAGAAACCGTGTAAGTCGCCGGGGATTCTATTTTTAAAAATGTGACACTTTGGGCAAAGGTGGAGTGCAACTGGAACAGATACTTAAAGCCACTGTTCCAGTACACATAATTGTTATTAAAACCCTACGGCACCTTTTATGAGCTCACCATAGGTCACAAAATGAGAAATTGAAAGGCTATGGTAACAGTGACATTCCATCATGTTCATTCATTATACGGGAAAATACGAAAATGACTAGCCTGTACGAGAAATGTGTGAATCATAAACACACCTATTTCTTCATGAGCCACATTCAGGTCACCTGTTACGATAATGGGCTTGACCTTGTCCAGTTCTTTCAAATGCTGACGGAATTCTGGGTCCCATTGGTGCTGCCGGTAAGGTAGGCGCACTAAACCTTGACCAGAATTAGGAACGTCTGTAATTTTATTAGTGACAAAGACTTGATAACATACACACAGAGACTAAATAAAAATCCGGAAACTCTGCGGTGATTACGCGACCTTCTGAATTTTGCGTGGTTTTACCCAGCCCTCGAGTTATCTTTAAAGGTTTTGTTTTTGAATATAAAGCCGTCCCGGCATAACCATTTTTCTCGGCCGAGGACCAGTGAAGTTCATAGCCCTCGATGTGTGCTTCAGATGGAATTTTGTCTGAGGCGCATTTGGTCTCTTGAATGCTGAGGAAATCTGGAGACTCCTCGCTGAGGTAATGCAGTCCACCATTCTAGGGAGATAAGTAAGATGCTAACCCAGCGGTACCTTAATCCATGCACGTAACCCGTTGACGTTCCACGAGCACAACTTCATATTCCACTTTTTCATACTTGGCGATATAAGTGAAGGCAAGCTTCCCGGATAAGTATTACACCAAGAGAGCAGTGCGCCCTGAGGGTCCTTTACGCCAGTCAAAGAATTGTATACCTCTTTGTGATTCACGGTCACTTTTTTGCTCCCTTTCGTCTCATTGACGGCTTCAGCGACCTCCTTTGCTTTCTTTTGACGTTTCTTCACGTCAGACGTACGGTCTTCGATGGAGGAAGTGGTCGACGATCGTTTGCCCATTACGATTGCACGTCGAAAATTGGAAAGAGCACCCAGCACGGTCAAGGTCATTCAAAACAATCAAGACTGCGGTAGCTCGATCAGTAATCACAAGGTCATACGCCATAGAATCATGGATTCAAGGATTGATACGCAGGATCGAGGCGTCCGCCCAAGTTTCCCGGGGTCGGCCATTAGTAGACTGTTTCAAATCAGTCGCTGTCTTGACTTGTTACATCCGGTCTCAAAGGTCGATTTCAGTACCAAATCCATCTTGGTTTTCCGTGAATCCGTGTCTGTCCATTTTGTGCTTGGAAATATCATCGCCTTCTACACCAGCCATCAGAGAGGTGAATAAGGAAGAATATGGGCTTGCATTGTGTTCTCAGTAAAATTCAGAAACATATATTGGGCCACTCGCTTGCTTCCTCTCTGTCTCTCAAGTAGAAGATGGTTATTTTGTTTTTCGCAGTCCCTCGCGTACCCAATCAGTACAGTTTCGCTTTTCCGGGAGAGGTCCAGTATCATGACCTGTTATCGATTGTGGAAGAAAAAATGCACTGAGAAACGACGGCGCACAAGTGAATGGTCGGAGTCAAGTTGGCATCCACATGGCGCGGCGAGCAGTGTTCGACACTCGCCGGTGGCAACCGACGACGGTTTAGTCGACTTGGTCTCGGGCTGGTCCCGATGTGGACACCACCTCGCAAAACGATTTTAATCGTTCCAGAAATCGGCGCTGCATTAGAACAGTCCGCCATCTGGAGCAAACACCTTTCGTTGTCCATGCATCTCGTATCCAACCCAAGACGACCACCCAATCGGGTATCAACGGCACCTGGCCTACCTATACGAACTTTGATGTCACCACCAAGCACAAATATGTCTGAGCTTTTAGCCAGCTGTAAAAAGCACCTAAAATGTCTTTGGCCGACCCAAAACAACAGTCCATTGTAGCGTAATCAGACATAGTAAACAAGTTGCGGTGGACCTTACTTTCTTATGATACTTTCACAGACGTCACAAACGAAACGCGCAGAGCCGACCATCAGCCAGTATCCAATCTACTAGATCGCCTTTGGACGATCTCTTAATACAATGCCGATCCTGACTTATTCAGCTTCAGTGGTCTGCGCATCACCAAAAGTGCGCTGCCGGAAAGCGGATGAGAGTGAAGCAACAGCCAGTCGAATTATTTCACTCTCGTCTTCTAGCCTTGTTTGATAGGCAATTACATCAATGCAGGGTAAAGGCAGAATGCAAAAGGTAGCTTATCTTGGTCCTGCTTCTTCGAGTCCACAAAAGTTGAATACAGCTCAGCTGAGTGGTTTTCGGAATTTCATTGAAGATTTTGAATTATTCATGTTTTTCTTTGAGGCCGGGCCCAGATGAACTGTAGTCAAGTGTGATGTCTGGTAGAAGATGCAGTCAACCCCTGTGTAGGATGATGCAGGAAGGATGTTCAAATCGTTCAGAAATAAGATTTAGCGGGAAATGTATGAAATTGTATATGCGAAAGCTTCATAGATGCCACATGTCTGGTCGCTCATCATGCTGGATGCAGAAATGGATGTGACGGGTTTGAAAAAGCTGCTCAAAGGCCGATTTATTGTGTGTGTGAAATATACCGTTTAGCGTTCGCCAACACAACGTTTAGAAGAAACGTAGGTGGCAGGATATTTTAGCCCATAGCTTTTTACCCAACAGCCCCACCGCAAGATGGCTGTAGTTGGCGGAAAACGTAAGAGCGATTACATTTTTGGAACGGCTCACCACACGTGTTCCAAACACTTTGATCGCGTCAGTCGAGCCTCCAGTGACCAACCTAATTTGAGGGGCTCCGTAAACGTCGCGCGATCGGTCAGACGGACGCGGGCTGTCCTTTTGCGGTACGGCCGGACGTTCTTTGGCAGAAATAAACTAGAGCTACGCTGACCCAGTCGTTGCGGCTGTAGAAGTCGATATCCGGATATACCTGAAATTTTTAAAGCTAATAACTTAGTGGTGCCTCAGTAAAGGCCTCAGTGATTCACTTGAGAAGGTTAAAGGGAGAGCGAGAGGCTCGAAAATTTGTCTCGCCTCGTTTGTTGAAGTAATGCTGCCTAGGGAGGTTTGCATTCGGTAATGCACTAATGAAATATTTTGGCAGCCATCATCAAGGACCCAGAGTGCAGACAACGGGGGCTGAATATGCTTTGCCAAATGGCTGCTCACTCCATGCCAACATCATCAGAAGGCATCACATGAAGTATCCGTTTGTCTTCGAGTGCTTTGATTTAAAAATTATTGTGCTCATAGGTTTATCATCATTTTCAAAATTTTCTGATCGATAAACTATAGGTCCTCTACAGCCATGTACAGCCTCGGGAAGTTTGGACAAACGCCTCGATTCTGTGTATCAGTCATTAGATTTAGGGGAGGTCAATGTACGGTCAAATTCACGGCACTATTTCGTCTTCGTTTTCTTTCAGTTAGCAGGCTTCTCTTGAAATTCTTTTTGAATTATGAGGCTAGTGCTCCACATAAAAAAATTATTGTGCTCATAGGTTTATCATCATTTTCAAAATTTTCTGATCGATAAACTATAGGTCCTCTACAGCCATGTACAGCCTCGGGAAGTTTGGACAAACGCCTCGATTCTGTGTATCAGTCATTAGATTTAGGGGAGGTCAATGTACGGTCAAATTCACGGCACTATTTCGTCTTCGTTTTCTTTCAGTTAGCAGGCTTCTCTTGAAATTCTTTTTGAATTATGAGGCTAGTGCTCCACATAAATCTTTTCAAGCATTGACAATTGAAGTAACTTAATGGACTGAACTTAGCCTATGGACTGAGCAAAACAAGACAGCCTCATAGGGTTAGTTTCCTAATAAAGAAATGCATCCCAACTGCAAATGCTTGTCACTTTGAGGCAAAAGAGTAAAATACCCCCCGATTTGGCCTGCAGTAAGGGACTCTTCGAAGAACATAAATGCGGACATTGCCTGACGGTTTGCTGGCGTTACACATTTGCGCAACTATTCCCTCTCTGACGGCTGAAGTTTGACGAAGACTTCTTTTCTGCGTCGTATTGCGCGAAGTCGGCTGTGGTTGTCAGGTATCGAGTCATGGAAAACAGTCATCGTTCAACCTCAACCGCCAAATCCAACGCAGCGGATCAAAACATGTTCTAAGGTTTCTTCCCGTTAGCAATCCACAGGATAGTTGGCCTTTGGCGGTATGCTGCGTAACTCTGTACTGCAGTAAAAATCTCTCTAGCATTGTTTGTGAAGGACCTGCGCTTTGTTTCAACCAATTCCTTGACTTTGCAACCGCGCGTTTTGCAAGGCTGTTGAAAGTGGGGTGCCTTGGTGCCGTTAGGAATCCCGTTAAAATCCCATTGGATTTTAAAAGCAGCTGAAATTCCGCGCTAGCTAACACCATGCCATAATCGGAAACAATCATTTCAGGTACACCGCACGATTCCAAACGGTAACGCATTGCCGATATTGTCGACGAACCAGATGCAGTTCTCCTGGACAACACTTTCATCAACTTCTGTCCACTCGACAATCACAAGGACTCTATGCCCTTCAACAGGGTTACAATAATCTACGTGGACGTCACCCCACGGATACGACGGGCAACTCCATGATGATATGAGTGCTGCTTCGGGTAAAGCCCGAAGCACCATCATTTCTACATCATGATCGATACCTAGCCACCAGGCACAGCTCGGGCTTAGGCATTTATTCTCATATCATTTGAGTAGCCTGAATGTGACTTCCTTAAAATTCCCGGACGGTAGCGTCTTGAACTAATTGCTCTTGCGTCCCATAGTAAACATCCATCTCGTACACTTGGTGTCGGCGATCGTTCATGGACCCCCCTAGTGTGCGTTCAACAGTCTCTGGCTATTCGCATGGAGAGAGACAAAACACACCTGAGTTTTGAATCTTTTCTCCTATTTCGGCGGCAGTGATATATAAATAATCAAACCTCCTCAATAATTTATCACTTCGGCCGGTTCTGTTATGTGAACTAGCACGCCTTGTAACGATAGGCTACTAATGGCATCCGGCGTGAGATTCACTTGCCTAAAAACGTACTGCAAATAATACTGGGAGCAGGCAGGTTCACATATCCAGCGTCGCATTCTGGACGATGTGTTTTACCGCATTGATTTGTTTTCTCTGAGAATTTGAAATAAAAGCTTTTTGTTCGTATATATGTCAAAAGGTTGCCCGAAAATGAAGTGCTGAGAACGTCTCACACCGAACAGAGTCGCCAATTCTTTCTTGTCTACTTGTGCGTAATTCCTCTTGAAAGGCAACAAAGAACGTGAAACGTAAGCTCAAAGAATTCTCGTTCTAACCCTCTGTGATAACGCGGCTCGCACACTATATTCTGAAGCATCACAGGCAAGAGTAAAAGGCTGTATTGACTCAAAATGATTGGGCAAAATTTTAAAAACAACCGTGTCTACAAAATATTTTAATTCATTTTTATTCCTGGGTTGCAGCGACTTCAATGTTGGATGTATTTTCTTGGCCAGAGGGGCCAAACACCCTACGCTGAAGCGAAAATCCATATGGTCCACATTACCAGACAATAAATCACACTTGCCTTTCTTGATCCGTAACCACAATCCTTCAAATGATCATGTGCCAGCTCCAAAGACTTCAAATGCTTCTCAGTGGTA